CTGAAAAAAAGTACTTCAAATTGAAAAGAACTCTTGAGAACCAACAGGACCAATCGAGATGGACAAATCTGTGTGATTTAATAACTCCTGCACATTCCAAGTGCTACATTGTAATGTGTGTTGGCAATTTAGTGGTAAGGATAGCTGCTTCCAAATGCTACAGTGTAAATGGAAGAGTAATTAATATATGCTAGAATATGGTGAAAGAGCAACAAATTATTCAGAGTTTTTTCTTCTTGTCTAACTCAATAGGGTAGTTATAAACTTGTCCTTGGTCTTTTATGAATGATTTCTCAAAGGGCTGGAGAATATAGATAGAGTATCATTTATGTAATACTTTGGTATTTGTTTGACTACAGTTCTGCATTTTAAAATATCAGTTATTTGGTAGCATTAGACTTTCATGCTATGTACTTTCCCCTAAGCACTTTGGACTTCGGAGCTCCCACAATACTTTGTCCAAATGTCTTACTTAGCTCTTTTTTTTTTTTTTTTTTTTTTTTTTTTTTTTTGGTATGGGGGATTGAACTTGGGTCCTTGCACTTGCAAAGCGGGCCGCCGAACCGCTGAACTAAATCCCCAGCCCTTAGTTCTTGAATAGTAACTTATTTCCATTTATATCTCTTCTATTACTTTTTCTGAGATATCCAGTAAAATATGTTAAATGATACAGGGCTTTTTTTTAAAACCATGTTCTTAATAATGTTGCTGAATTTGTATCATCTATAATCATTGGACCCAAAATGAAATTAAATATGTTTTTATTACCTACTCTGCAAATGTTTCACCAACCACGTTGGGTTTGAGAAAAGGGAGTGCAGTTGAAGTGAGTTATGTAAGCCTGAGAAGTTCTGAAATTCATATTTTGATATCTTCTCCCTTAGTGATCTGATTTAATCTGTTTTTTTTTTGCACATCTATGTTTATTTTTTTGTTGAGTTTATTGGTACATTTTAGGTATACAGTATGATTTAATCTGTTTAAATGCTCTCAATATGGCAACTCCCAAGCTTTTATCTACAGCTTTGGTCTCTTAGCTCCATAGTCTTATATCCGGCCTCCTGCTCCACATATCCACTTGCATATCCAATAGACTCTCAAACTAATCTTTTGATTTATGTCCTCTGCCCGCATCCCTTCAGAGATAAAACCTTATTCTTCCGGCAGTCTTCTTCCTGTCATTTGATGGCCATTACCCCTAATCAAACTGAAAATCTTAGGCATTCTCAGTTCCCTTCTGTTTCACACTCTATAGTAAATCCTTCTTAAAGTCTTGTTGCTTCTACCTTCAAAGTACATATAGGCCCCTAGTACTTTTTCAGTATCTTTAATGGTGCTAATTTTCACCTAGTATTATATTGTCTCTCCCAGATTACCGAAATAGTCTTTTTATCCCCCAAAGTAAATTTAATAAAGAATCAAGAAAATCCAAATTCACTGGTACATTTTAGATATACATAATAATCATTCACCATAGGGAATTTCTGATGTATCTACATGATATATCTTGCTTCTTTTTTTCCCATTCCCCTTCCCTCCTTTCATCCCCTTTCCCTCTGTATCTACAAAGTCTTATTTCCATTTTTTGCCTTCCATTCTTTTTTTTCTTCAACCCCCCCCCTTGTTCCCCTACTCATTTGCACTTTTTTTTTTTTTTCTGTTTCACATCAATTACACATTTTGGTCCTTATTTACACTTTTGGTTTCTCATACCAGAGAAACCATGCAACATTTACACACCTGTGTCCTATTTATTTCATTTCTGAGCTGGAAATGTCTCAAGCTTATCCTTTATGGCAGACTAGTACTCCATTGTATAAAAAAAAACCCGCATCTTTGTTATCCATTCATGGACTGATGGGCATTTGGGCTGTTTCCAAGATTTTGGAAATTTTGACTATTACAAACTGCCACTGTAAACATGGGCATGCATATATTACTGTGGTAGGGTGCTTTTAATTTTTTCAGGAAGATACCAAGAAGGGGAATACCTGGGTTGAATAGAACCTCTAGTTTTAGTTTTTTGAGGAATCTCCACACTGCTTTCCACCGTGGTTGCACCAGTCTGCACTCCCACCAACAGTTGGAAAGGGTGTCTTTTTACCACAGCCCCACCGGCATTTGTTATTGGTTAATTTCTTCATAATAGCCATTCTTTCTGGACTGAGGTGGAATCTCATCTTCGTTTTATTTATTTTTATTTTTTAATTTTTTGATAACAGGGATCAAACTCAGGACCCTGCCCATGCCAGGCAGGCACTGTGCTGCTGAGCTATATCCCTGGCCCTACAGCTTTGTTTTAATTTGCATCTCTCAAAAGACCTGTGACATTGTGTATTTTTTCATATATTTATTTGCCATTTCTACTTCATCTGAGGAATGTCTATTCAGTTGCCTATTTTTGGGTCTTTAAATTTGGGAGGTGTGATTTTTTTTTTCTCTATATATTCTAGATATTAGTCCTTTGAGGAAAAGCTGGCAAAATTTTTTTCCCCACACTGTGGGTTGTCTCTTCATTCTGTTGGTTTCTTTTGCTGTGCAGAAGCTGTTTAATAAGATGAGATCCCAGGTGTTGATTCTTTGTGATATTTCCTGTGTGATCAGGGTTTTGTTCATAAACTCTTTGCCTAAATCAGTATCTTCAAGAGTTCTACCTATTTTATCTTCCACAAGATTTAGTGTTTCTGTTTTAATATTTAGGTCTTTGATCCATTTCAATTTTGATTTAGTGCATGAATAGCCTTTTAACTGAACTCCCAGTTTCTACTCTTCATAAGCAAGCCTCCAGCCAGTAGTTTCTCATGTCACTTAAAAGGCCAACATGCACGATGGCCTGCAAGACCAAATAAGATCCACGTCTAATTTTTTTTTCTTACCTCTGTGATCACATAACCTGCTCCTCTTTTTGCTCACATTGTTCTAATTTCGTTGCTTTTTTGCTGTTCCTCAAATTTGTTGTATTCCTGCCTGAAGATTTCTTCATTGGCAGTGCCTCTCATCTGAGTTTAGCAAAATTTTCCTCTATTTCAAGTCTTTGATCAGATATCACCTCTGTAGTGAGAGCTACTATAACCACCCTATTTTAAATTATAATACTTTACTCCTTGGCTCATCTTGGCCTCCTTTATTTTTTCATTTTCTAAATATTCTAGCTATATTTTCTACTTTATAACCTGTCTTATAACTTACTAATTTATTATAATCATTGGTTTTCTGTCTAGAATATAAGCTTCATAAGAGCAGCGTTTTTAAAGTTTTTCTCACTGAGGTAGTCAAAATGAATGACTCCCTAAAATGAAATTAATAGAATAAGAAAATTGGTAACAATTTTTGAAGTAAAATCTTCCCATAGAAGTTTTGTAATTTTTTTCAATATTAAAAACTCTGGAATATAATGTCTGTAAGTGTTCAGATATCCCATAGAAATAAATAATTTTGTATCATCTGGTATTTTGTATTATTATATTTGTTCGACTAGGTAATTGAACTGTGTTGGTAATAGAACACAATTTTTGTCCTTGAAGAGAATTAACTTATAAGAACAAACAGTTACAATGTATTATAATATATGTAGTGAAGAAAGTTTATATAAATGTTCCATGTCCGAAAGAAATTAGTTTCAAAATTAGTCTCTTAGGCTAATTTTATTGATTATGTTAAAGAAATAAAATTCCAGCCCTCCAATGTCTAATTAATACTTTCACCAGCATTCATATGTCAGTGCAGCTGTTTTACTTGCAGAAATAAAATATCTTTGGAATTCCAAGAATTGACTAAAGATTTACTAATTATCTGTTCTGAGGAAGAATTATTAGGTTATTAGAGGCATTTGAATATCTATTGTTCCTATGGGAGTTCAGGCTAGGGGTTTTGTTAAACGGCTGGGGATTTAGCTCAGAGGCACAGTTCCTGAGTGGCAAGTGCAAGGTTCAATCCCTGGTCCCCCTCCCCACAAAAAAAATTGAAAAGAAAAAGATGTGACAAAGATATACTTGTAAGACTTTTAAAACTAAAAATAATTATAAAAGAAGCACATTCATAGCAAAAAATTAAAAATATAGAAACAGGATAACATAATTTGCTTTTCTGATCTAACATCTTAGGTTCTTTCTCATTTGTTCTCTCCAGATACAACTTATTTTTTGAAAGCTACTGTATGAGATTCTATTGTATATTTGTAATTTAAGACAGTGCCTTGACATTAAATTATTCATGGCTTTTTCTCATCATATATAATACTTTATTTGATGTTTATGTAACTGTGCATTTGTGTATCTGTGGGAAAATTATTTTAAATTATCCTCCCCACAACTTGTCCTAATTTGTATTCCCATTACAAAAGTATATGGGAATATCTCCCATATTGGGATTTAGCATACTTTTTAGTTCTCACCAATATAATAATGTAAAATTAATATTTCATTAATTATAAGTAAATTGGGATTAAATTATTTGAGTACCATTTCAAATTTTGGGCACTCATTGGCTTAACCTTGCTCTTGTCTACTTCTCTTCCAGTGGGATTTTGTTTTTTCATTTTTCTCTAGAACTTGACCATTCTTTAAACTATGTCAAAAATTTTCTTTTTTAGTGATGATGCATTTCTGTAGTCCCAGTAGTCTAGAAGGCTGAGGCAGGAAGACTGCAGGTTTGAATCCAGCCTGGGCAGTTCATTGACTTAGTGTGACCCTCTGGAGAAAAAAGGGAGGTGAGGTGGGAATGTAGCTCAGTGCAAAGGTCATGGGTTCAATCCCTAGTACAAAAAAAAAAAGTCTGTATTTTCTTAGAGCTGAGATATAGCTCACTGGTAGAGCAGTTGCCTAGTGTGTGCAGAACTCTGGGCTTGAACTCCTGTTAAAAAAAAGTTTGTGTTTTCGGTTATTGGATTTCTGAATAACATCAGCCTAAAATGATTTCTCCCTATTAATACGCTAAATGGTTTATTTTCCACTTATCACAATTTTAAACCAATTTTAATCCATTTGACTTTCTTCTTACAGGGTTCCCAGACATACAGGATGGTTCAACACTAATGGGAAGAGAGGCATAAATTTATCTTCTTCCATTATGGAGGCAGGTTTAACAGATGGAGAACCTGACCAAACTTCGGTGAGTAGTCAAATATTGCATAACATAATAAGGTATTTATCGTCTGCAGCTGTAAAATAGTCAGTGTACATCACTCTAAATATTCTCTAAATATGTTTCAAAGAAATTTAAGCAAATGTTTAAGAAATAGTACTTTAATTCTTTTGTTGATAAGAGAACTATGGATAGTTTAAAGCTTATTGACATATAACCCAGTCAGTTTCTTGATACTATCTCCTCCTTTTCTATTCTTCCTGCTTTCCCAATCATATAGTGTCAGATATATTGATATAATAGTTTTCCTTGTTTTCTCCAAGAAACTTTTATAGTGAAATTGTGAGAATGTTTACAGTTTAGTAAGTTAAATGCCTCCGACTCTGAAATCACATGTAGCTGTGATCAGGCAGAGTTAATGAAATGGTTAAAATAATTCAGAATTAAGAGTAATTCTATCTATAAAAATACGAAGGTTTAAAAATCACTACTGTGACTGATTGAATTATGTTCTGAAATTAAGTAGGGATAGTAAAAGTTTATATCACTCAGATTTAAAAACAATTCTAGGGTATATTAGAAGAGACTAAATGGTAGGTTGTCATTGTACAGAAAGATTTTGCTTCAGAATAATTTCATTTTCAATTCTCATGTATTTTGAGTGATTCCATTAAATATTTATTTATTTATAGATTCTTTATTAGAAATATTTCTGTTACCTAAAGTAAGGGTTTCCCTAAATAAAATGTGGTCAACTGGTAACTCATTTGTTAGGTGGGTGATTCTTTGACATATTTATGTTATTGGAATAAAGTGGAGGCCCTGTCTTTCATTTCGCTATGGAGATAAGAGTAGCTACTTTATTGAAACATTTAATTTAGTGGATGTCCTTTGTTCAAGCTCCATGCAGGAACAGTCTAATGATTAATAGCAAGTGCAATTTTACTGTCTTATATTAACTTAGTCCCAAATTTTTTTTGAATTTCTGGTTCAGACTTCTTTTGGTTTCTTAAATCACCAAAACAAAAATAAACTTTAAAGTGATGAGTTACTAATAGAGAATTAAATGGGTATGGAAATAACTTGGCTTATGAAGATTATTGTCACAGTGACTATAAATGGAAAATTGGTGGTAGATTATTTTTATTATGATTTCAGAAAAAAAAGTCAACACTAACCTTTGCAATGTATCTTTACCATGAACATTCCCATTTTTAAAGGTATTGGACTTTATTAGATTCTTACAGCTGAAATATTTCTGATCTCATAATACCAATCAAAATGTCAGTAATTGAGCTGTGCATATACCTCAGTGGCAGAGAGCCTGTGTAGCATTCTCTAAGCTCTAGGTTCTATCCCTTGCACTGAAAAATAAAAGCCAGTAATAACAACAGTTGCTGCTTTCTAAGTGTATACTTTATTGGACTGTCCTCATAACACACAATAATGCTAAATATTTGCTTACCCTCACTTCCATAGCTAGGGAAGTAGGCTCAGGGAGAGTAATTTCCTAATCATCTAACAACCTAAATGGCAAGACTGAAGTTTGTCTCTCAATAATCTACTATTGAAATATTGGCTACAAGCCTGTCTTTTTTAATAGACTTCCTTAAAATTTATTGTTACCTTTTAAAGTAGATAGCTAAGTAAATAGTTTAAATTCTGTGCCAGAGTCCTGGTCAGTATTAAAGAAGTTCTAGTGACATTTTTACCCTAAATTCTATTGATAATTAAGAAGTTGGGGCAAAGTTAAAAACTAATTAGAACAATTTTTTCTTGTTCATTAAGTTTCTTCTATAAAATATAGCTCATTTTAGAAAGACCTATACCAGTAATTTCAGTATAAAGTACAAAAATATCCTGTATTTGAAGCTAGTGTTGAGATCTACTTTTGAGTTAACTATTTATAAAATAGCACCTTTGAACTACATGGCCTAAGCTAGTTACTGTTTAGATTTGGGAGAGGTAGGTCAGAAAAATGGGCTGTGTAAGACATTTAGTTACATGTTAAAATCTGAGCTTTTTAACTCAGTGTGTGACCTGGGGAATTAAATTCTCAGATTTTCAGTTTCCTTATTTATTAAATAAAGGTAATTCTGATATCTACCTCTCAGAGAAGTTTTGAATATTTATTGCAAAAGTAAAGTGCTCATTATTATAATATGATAGACATTATAAACATATATTAAGTAAAAGCCACTATTATTAGTAACAATAACTATTACTAGTAAGCCTTCTCTCCAAAAAGATACATAATTAGAAGTCGGGGAAGCCTGTGAAGATTGTGGTTGCTGGTATAGTGGGAAGAGCTTTCATAAGAGAATATAAACTTTGAATAACACAGGTAAATATGGTTCATACAATGAAAATAAACAGGAAAGCATTTTAGGATGGGAAATGAGCAAAAGGCAAAGCTAAATTGGCAATTAGTTGTTCAAAATTCAGAGTAAAATGAGTATAAAAATTGAGTGTAAGGTAGATTGGAAGGCAGTTAAAGGAATAATTACTGACATAGCAGATAAAGACCAAATTTATGGAACACTTTGGAGTGCTAAATCAGAGATTAAATTCATTTTGTCATTCATTGTTCTAGTAACACATAGTTTTATTTTTGTAGTAGTGCTATTTGTCTTAGGTGGTAGATACTGAAAAGTACAGATTAAATCTATCTCTTTATATATGGTGCTTGTGTAAGACACAAATGTACATGTATGTATCAAAAATTTTTTTTCATTAAGTTTATTGGTATATTTTTGGTATACAGTACAGTTACATTCACCATTGGGAAGGCCAGGGATTTAGCTCCGTGGTGCCACCACCTGCATCGCAAGTGGAAGGTCCCGAGTTCGATCCCTGGTACCAGAAAAAAAAAAACAAGAAAAAACTGAGGCAGATAAAGTAAAAAATTTAAAGCACAACATTCACCATTGGGAACTTGTACATTTACTTGATGTATCTTGGTTCTTAATTTTCCCCATTGGGAACTTGTACATTTACTTGATGTATCTTGGTTCTTATTTTTCACCATTGCCCTCCCCTCCTGTATCAAAAATTTTTTAAAGACCAGAACTTGTACCATTTTAGAAATTAACCACTAGGAAATGCTTCATTGAAGTGTTGGTGTCAGAGTTTTATGAGTAGATAAAAATTGACTAAAGAAGTAAAATATTCCTTTGGATTAAAATATTTGAATATATTATTTACCTTAAGAAAAATAGATTATCTTTGAAATACTGTTTTTGTTAAAACTGCTTTGTAGTTTCCTATAGTACAAAGTGTTTTATTAAATTCATTATGTAAATAATTCTTCAGAGAGAATAAAACGTTTTAGTTAATTTTTTGTTGTATTTATGTAGGGCTTTCAATTGAAGAAATTTTTAAGTTTGTAATTCCAATTGAGGACTTTGAACTAAAGCTTTTATAAGGTAGAAGGAACTTGAAAGATATTTAGTTCACTAATTCTTAGAATGTAATCAATGAGTATCTTCCTAATAAGGCTAAAGATCAAAGTTGCTAAAACTTTTTTTACATATTTACTTATTAATGATAACTCAGATTTGGTTACCATAAAGTAACAATATTATATTTTTTGAGTTTACTGAAAGCTTTAATATTGTAAGAAGTCTTAACTGTCTATACATTTGGCTACATTGTAGTGTTTGTATCTGTGTACATGCAAATTAATGGAATTGTCGCAGTTTTTTATATGTCAAGTATCATTTTGAGTGAGCCAGTTTTTAAATGTTTCTAATTTTGGGAGCCAAGGATTTAGCTCAGTGGTTCCACTGCCTGCCTCCCAAGCACAAGGTCCTGAGTTCAGTCCCCAGTACCAAAAAAAAAAAAAAAAGTTTCTAATTTTTGTTCTCTTGTTATAAATATAGTACTATTAGTTTAGCTTCTCATTATAATTATTTTAATATATTATTAGTGATAATATCTTTTGTGTATACTTTTGCAATAATTAGCCTTTAACACATTTATGCATTCAAGTCCAATGGTAGATTATCCATATACCAATTACTAATTATACAAAGCGCTGTTGAATGGTTGCACCTTGTTAAATTTCATAGTTAGTGATTGTAGTTTCCTATTGCTTCTGTATCTTAAACCAATAAAAATTTACTATTTTATTAGTTTAAAGATTGTGTTCCCTCTGAAGTTCTAAGGTGAAATTCTATTTTTTGACCCATATCTGTGTTGAGAGGTGTTATATTCATTCCTGGGCTAGCGGCTCTTTCCTGGCATCAATACAAACTCTGGCTTTTTTTTTTTTTTATTTTTTTTATTTTTTAAATTGGTATTGGTACTGGGGATTGAATCCAGGGCCACTCTACCACTGAGTTACATCCCTGGGCCTTTTTATTTTTCCTTTTGAGACAGGTCTTGCTAAGTTGCCTAGATAGGACTCAAATTTGTAGCCTTCCTGCCTCAGCCTTCCTCAATACTGGGATTGCAGGCATGTTGTAGTCACAGCTGCTTCTAATGTATTTCAGCATATATCTCGAAAACATAAAGATTTTTTAAAAAAATTTTTTTACCAGCTCTTCCTCAGACAAAGGACTAACACCTAGAATATTAAGAACTCAAAAATATCAGACCCCCCAATTTAAAGACCCAATTCAAAAATGGGCATCTGAAATGAATAGACATTTCTCAAATGAAGAAATACAAACACCAAATGAAGAATTAAGATATATTATGCATAGGTACAAATGATGAATGTGATCATTTTTTTTGTTTGTTTTTTTTTGGTATTGGGGATTAAACTCGGGTCCTTGAGCTTGCAAGGCAGGCAGCAGAACCACTGAGCTAAATCCCCAGCCCTGAATGTGATCATTATGTATGGCAAAAGTATATTGATAAAAATTTTAAAATAAAAAATTTTATTACATTTTTTATCACAAATACATTATTATTCCTAAACTTTAGTAATTCTTCAGTGTAATCAAATAACTGTTCAATGCATAAACTTCCCTGATTGTCTCATAAATATTATCTTCATAGTAGATTGTTGTATTAGACTTGGC